CAAGTTTTGTAGCATTTCTAGAGGAGTTTACAGAAATCAAAAGTAAATATAGAAAAATCATAAAATCTCAAAACCAGTTTTGTTAGGTTAAATGCATGTTAAGTTATATATGTATGTGCTTGAAAAATACAAAATCTATGTATATGATGTTTTATTTATTTAAAATGTTTAACTTATCAAAAAGTCGTCAGAATTGTGCAGTAAATCACATCTGTCACTAGTTATATTTGGTAACAGTTTCATCCACCGAAGAGATAACATGAGAGTGCAGAAAACACAACTATGTTGTGTCTTGTTTAACACGTTGAAAATGGAAAAAATATTAAAATGAACAATCTAAAATCCCTGCATTGTATAATATGATTATTTTCAATGTGTTAAACTAGATTCAAAATTGAATGCTGAAATATAGATTCATGATGTCAGTAATATGTCACAAAAAGGATGCTGCGAGAACTTACAAGGATGTGTACAAGATTTTCAGAGACAATTCGAAACTGGTTTTTGGAGACAGGCGAGGTGTCTGCCTTCGGACCACCATCACTGTTAATTAGTATTTTCGGAGGTGGTCAGTTGCCCGTCTACGAAAATAGATTTAAAAAACAAAAAAAAAGCAAAACCCATCACCGAGCCAGCTACCAGGCCGCGGACAGAGCCCGGACCTTGGTCTAGGCCATGCGTCATCGATCCGCATGCGACCGCCGTTGATCTGCCCATTGCCGCTGTCAATCCACCTGCCGCCACCGTCGTTCTACACCGCATGCTACCACGGGATCTGCAAGAGTGAAACAGGTTAAGAGTGAGAGCGCACGCGAGTAGTGGAGTGAAAGAGAGGGAGAGGGAGTGGCCACTGTTGATTTTCCGCACCACCGCATCTACGTCGCACCTCCGCCAAGACGGCCACCCACGGGCGCCACCTCCGCCTCCATGCCGCCCTCGCCAAGCCAGCCGCCGCCTCCACTCTGTGTGCGAGATGTGAAGAGAGGGAGAGAGAGGGGGGGGAGGGAGGCTATGAGTGAAGAGAGATACAGAGGCGGCTTGAGTAGTGGAGAGGAAACCTAAGGCCTCGGTTATATTTTGTCAAAATTAATGGGCTGCTATCATGAGCCTTATTTCTAGAGATGAGCCATCTGAGACACCCGCCTCAATAAATCAATTCACAGGGGCAGGCCTCGTGAAAATATCTGCTTCTCTTAATGATCATTTGAGAGAGGGATATTTTAAAAGGTCGTCTCTGTTAATCTATTTTTAGAGGGGTCCTTTTCTTAAGGTGTCGGCGTAAATAAGTTGTCCGTCTCCAAATACCATGAGCTATTTTGGAAGGCAGTAAGGTTTTGTGCCCACCACTATCAATGCAAGGGGGGCTATTTCTCAAAATGTTTTTACTAGAAGTGTTATATAACTTCAGCTTAATTTCCAACTAAATATGTATTGTGCTAGTTTCTTTAGTTAGAACCTAAGCTTAAGTTATATAAGTTCTTGCTACATCCTTTCTGTGTCATTGACATCATGAATCTATATTTTAGATTTCAGTTTTAATCTAGTTTGATACATTGAAAAATAGTCATTTTATACCATGTAGGGAATTTAGTTTTTCTTCTTTTTTCTATTTTCAATGTATTAAATGAGACAAAACATAGTTATATTTTCTGCCCTTCCATGTTATCTCTTCTATATATAAAACTTTTACCACATATAATTAGTGATAGATGTGGTATACTTTACAATTTTCATGACTTTTGGATAAGTTAAACATTTTAAACAAATAAAACATCACAGATAGATTTTGTATTTTTCAAGCACACAAATGTTACATAACATGCAGTTTTGTGTTTTTCATCTATTGATCTAAATATCAGTAACCTAACAAAACTGGTTTTGAGATTTTAGGATTTTTCTACTATATTTCTTTTGATTTTTATAAGCTCCTCTAGAAAGGGTACAAACATATAGCTTGTACTGTAACTTGAAAGTCATTTTTTGGTAAACGATTAGTACTAGTCGTTCGCCCGTGGAACCATGTGGAGCGATTACTTTTCGGCGTCGTCCTTCAATTGCACGAATCAAGAAGTCGTCCAACCTGATGACAATCTGCCTATGCACAGATTGCCATATCAGTGTCTAGTTCCCAATTTCAAGAAAGATGCGTGTAGACCCTATAGATAGATATCGTCTCCATTACTCAATCATCAAGAACAATATAAACAATAACACACAAGAGACAAGTATACGAGGGGAATCATCTCTTCATTAGTCATCATAGACATGTAGTCCCTTTATATATATATATATATATATATATATATATATATGAGATAGCCTTTAAGTCATATATCGTATGAGCCCATCAATCTGCTAATTGAGTAATTCTTAACACCCCTTACAACACTAGTTAAAACTCCACAAAATCAATGGAAAAGACCTCGGACGCGCCATTCCTTCTCCACCTCGGCCGAGGCCGGGCTCGTCCCGCATTCTCGTCGCCTCCGCCTCAATTGCCCCTCTGGCGGGCCGTCCCATCCGTGTAAGTACCCCTAGTTACGCCTACGTCAGCCACGATTGGCAGGGTATGGCAAAAGGGGCAATGGAACGGCGGTCAAATCACCTTTTTACCATCCCCTACTGATGGTGCAGAGACTACAGCGCCCTGCGGACGCCCATTCCGCACTTTTCCACTGGAACCGGGTACGACATAGACCACCGAGACCCCCGCGTCGTACACAGGTCACCTCCGAGGCCTCGGCAAAGAGGGCCTCGGCACGATCAGCTCCAGCACCCGCTAGGCCTCGGCACTCCACCAGGACAAGAGCCGACCAGGCATGGCATGTCTCCGGCCGTGGAGGCCATACTGACTAGACATCGACAAGGACACCCACGACCTCAACAACTCCAAACCTTGCCAGCACGTCGCGCCAGGCAAGTACCGATCTCCATTCCCAGCGCCATGCGGCTACAGGACTAAACTACAGTAGGCTCCACGCGTAGCTCACCCATGTACTCCTGGCTCCTTCCTTGCGGTTATAAAAGGAAGCGGCCAGGGATAGCTCAGGAAAGAGAAAAGAAAGGAAGGACATACGATAGAACCACGCCCCCACGCTGCCTGAGAGCAACGACTCAAGCAGCCCGCACCGCTCCACGCCGAGACCTGGGACTAGCTCCCTCTCTCACCCAGCTTGTAACCCCCTACTGCAAGCACTCCGGTGCAAGGAATACAAGATCGATCTCTCCGACTGGACGTAGGGCACCGATTGTCTGAACCAGTATAAACCTTGTGTCTCTTTGCATCACCATCCGGGATTAGGGGCACGCAGTTCACATTTACTGGTTGGTTGAGGACCCCCCCGGTCCGAAACACCGACAGTTTGTATGAACAAATTGTGTGGTCTATGAACTGTTAAGAATGGATTGTGGTCAATTGCCTGGGCGTCAATTGCCAGGAAAGCAGCGGCATGCATGCATGCAATCTGCATGTATTAATGAGGGCAAATCTGTCATTAGTTGAGTTCCTATTCTGGATTTTGGGTGGAAGTAAACACCCTACTACACTATTTTACATTTTAGGTTTTGAGGGGGATTTTGATTATGGATTCTGGATTCTACGTTCTGGGGAGAACTAAACAGGCCCTATGTTTATATTTAACGAATAATATAATAATAAAAAATGTATTAATTATGGCGTGTGTGCACATGGCCACAAGGACAAGGTACGGGCCGGTGTACCTATAGTCTATTTCACCACCTCAGAGTATGTCCAGCTGTTTCTCCATATGGCCTCCTCATTCTCGTAAAACTATTATATGGATGGAGGTTAAATTATTATTTTTTTGCTCCAACCGTTCTCCAATAGCCTCTCATTTTTTGGTGGCCTCCTAAAATACCCATCTTCTCCCGTTAAAGTGAGAGCTAGATCTCCCCCAAGCCCCATAGCAACTACATTTTATCCGCCCGCACGAGCACAAAGCTGGTAGTCAACGTTGACGGCGTCTTGCTCCTATCGTGCTCCCTCCTCTTCAACTACTTCATGCTCGTCGCCCTCGAGGCCAGCGGCTTTCTCTGCGGCCTCGTCCTGCTACTCCTCTATCCTGCCATCGGCTTCTGTGGCAGCGACTTGGAGGCCATGGCCATGACAGCATGGAAGCTCCTGGAGGCCGAGGCCATGCGATGGGTCGGCGACCCGCGGGCGCAGGTGGTATGGACCAGTGCCATGCTACGAGTCATGATGGGGGCGAGCGGTATGCCGTTGGATCTAAGCATGCTATAGGAAGACAAAGAGAGTGAGAGAGAGAGAGAGGAAAGAGATTGTGGAAGAAGAAAAACCTGACAGCTAGGTCCCAGCGTATTGGGGACATTATTGATGGTCTGCTGCAAAAACTCCCCCGAATACTTGAAAAAGAAGTATTGGTGATGACCAATATCATTCTATTGGAGAGATGTCAAATTAATTACATGATTTTAGCCATTATCTAAAGTAAAAAAAAACACATCAAATTAAAAAAGTAAAACACTCCAACAAGCTTTTCTAAATATTTTCTTGTCCATAATTAAAACTGCCATGTAATCTCGTTTTCTTCGATATTGGATCCGTCCAGTCACGCACGTTGCATCGGGAGAGAGGACGTACAGGCCGGAGGACAGTGGAGAGGAAAAAAAAGCACGGGAGAGGTCGATGAGACTCATTTTACACCAAAAGTGATCAAACTAGCTCAGTTACGTACGTATGCATGCTGTACCAAACAGGGCCATTAAGCGTTGGCCTTGTATACAAGGCATCGAACGACTTTTTGTTACGCAAAATTATATTCGTGCACTGTGATTTAAATTTCCATCCATGCGTTGACTAGTACACTACTTCTTTGACTATCTAGAGAACGCCACTCCACGTACGTACGGTTATCTGTCATGAGGTTTTTGAGCGTTCGCTGGTTTTCAATCTCTATAAATAGACGCATGCACAAACATAGTAGCCACACAACACAAGCAATATGATGAAGGTGCAGAGGATGGGAGGGGTTGTGCTGGCGGCAGCAGCAGTGCTGCTGGCTGCAGTGGTGGCCGTGGCGGCGGCAGAACTCGTGCCGGTGACGGACAAGGACCTGGAGTCGGAGGCCAGCCTGTGGAGCCTATACCAGAGGTGGCTCAGCGTGTATAACGGGTCGCTGGACCTCGGGGAGAAGCCGAGCAGGTTCGAGACGTTCAAGAAGGACGCTAGGTACGTCAACGAGTTCAACAAGAGGGAGGACGTGCCGTACAAGCTCGGCCTCAACCAGTTCTCCGACTTGACCGACGAGGAGTTGGACAGCGGCATGTTCACCGGAGCCTTGCCCGAAGACGCCGGCAACGTCAGCCTCAGCAGTGGCATGACCGACGACGATGAGCTGCTGGCTTCTACCGCCGGCAAGGTGCCGGCCAAGTGGGACTGGAGACACCACGGAGCTGTCACCCCAGTGAAGAACCAAGGACATTGCGGTGCGTATATATATAGTTTCCATGCATGTTCTGGCTTCTTTTTTTCTTTTTTGTATATATACGTATATATAACTTTTCCTACGCATGCATTAATCTAAATACGTGATATATCTATATATCAACTTACAATAATTTAATTAGAGAACTATTCCATAGTAAATGTTAAAAATCTGTGGTGTATGCATGCATGCAGGGAGCTGTTGGGCTTTCTCGATGGTGGCCTCTGTCGAGGGCATCAACGCAATCAAGAGAGGGGAAACTGCGGACACTGTCGGAGCAAGAGGTGCTCGACTGCTCCGGCGACGGGAGCTGTAAAGGTGGGCACACGTACGAGTCATTCGATCATGCCATCAAGCACGGGTTAGCCTTAGACCAGCACGGGAATCCTCCGTACTACCCTGCCTACGTTGCCCAGAAGAAGAAGTGCAGATTCAACCCGGTGCGCGCTCACTCACACACACACACACATGTATATATATATAGTCCAAACAGTATTGAGCAGAAAAATATATAAATCTCATTTCTTGATATGAGCCATATATATATAGTTCTAATTGCATGCATGCATGCCCGGCCCGGCTGCAGAAGAAGCCTGTGGTGAAGATCAACGGCAAGAGAATGATGAGAGACACCACCGAGGCGCAGCTGCGGTGGCGCGTGTACAAGCAGCCAGTGTCCGTCGTCGTCGAGGCAAACCGCGCCTTCAAACGCTACAGTGAGGGCGTCTTCACGGGACCTTGCGGGACGCGTCTAAACCACGCGGTCTTGGTCGTGGGCTACGGAACTACGGCGAACGGTGTCAACTACTGGATCGTTAAGAACTCGTGGGGCAAGGGCTGGGGTGAGAATGGCTACATCCGGATGAAGCGTAACGTGGGTACCAAAGCGGGTCTCTGCGGCATATACAAGAAGCCCATGTACCCCATCAAGAATAAGTAATTGACCGGCCCTGCCCGGTGCCCGGTGCCCGCCGCCGCCTCCTGTGGCTAGCTCCTGGGACCTACCTACTACCTGGATGTTTAAACTACGTGCATGAGGATGCGTAGGCGTATACGGACTCATCTACGCATATATATAATAAAATAAAAATTTACTTCCTCCTTTTTTTTGTCTTATTATCGGATGTGTCGTTGCGAAACAGCATAAAAGAACGCCGCGTTTAATTTGTGTTTGAGCTAACTCTTTGGCGGGAGAGAAAGTGAAATTAATATAAGGACGTTGTATGCACACTTTGCACATCTCGGTCTGTAACATATGGATTTTTTTAAAAAAAACAACTCCTTGCCCCGCTGTGTTTGGCGGTAGCATATACAGGAAGATGATAAAGGTGCAGAAAAAGAAGATGGGAGTGGCTGTGTTGGCAGCAGCAGCAATGCTGGCTGCAATGGTGACCGTGGTGGCAGGAGATGTCCCGTTGACGGACAAGGCGGACCACCTGGAGTCGGAGGAGAGCATGTGGAACCTATACGCCTATATATACGAGAGAGGTGGCCGGCTCAACGTGTTACGTGTAAACGGCGATGTCGCAGGATGATCTCGCGGAGAAGGAAACTAATTGGGTACACACCCTTGCACTGCGCCTCCGTAGAGACCCACCTTAGATAGAAGCCATGTGTCCTGAAAAGGAGAGGACGTTCGAGGTGTTCAAGGCGAACGCCAGGTACATCAACTATTTCAACAAGAGGACGTACGTGACCTACAAGCTCAACATATTCTCCGATTTCCCTGTAGGAGTTCGACCGCACGTACAGCAGTGGCAAGGGTGAAGCCGACGTCATGGACGATGACGCTAGCTATAGCGTTGCGTCCCACGAGCAGCCGCCGGTCACCGCCGCCTGCCGGCGACGTGATGCCCAATGCGTGGGACTAGAGAGACTATTATGCTGTTACTCCTGTGAAGAACCATGGAAAATAAATTAGAAGATTCGACTAAGCCTCGAATATGTTTTCTCTATTTTCAAAAATAAATTTTCGACAACGAGAGCAGCTGAAAAAAAAAGACAGATATACTGTCTGTCAGGTTTTTTCATAACCGGTTTCACCAATAAGTTAGAGAGAAGCAATGGCTTCACTTTTGTAGTATAAAAAATGGTTTCTTCCCTCTGGAACTTCTCTCATAAAATCATTTTTTGAGTTAGCATTTGCCAGGGTTTCACCCAGAGAAATCAAGCCCCTCAATAAATTCTACCAAACAGGGCATAAATACATAGATAGAGTGGAGTGTATATATGTATGTGTATGGTTTGAATAAAACAGTGTGTAGTGTCTGGTTTGAATAAACCATTCCCTTGTATAATTTATATTGAAAATCAATGCATGGGCTTTGCGTAAAACCCCTTGTGCTACTAGTCTTGCTTTGATCTCACCACCACATTGTTCTCAATCCATTCTAGGACGAAAACACTTTTGTACCCATAGTAAAGGTACCATGAGGTGTTGGCATCACATCCCAAAACACCTCTTTTCTGGTGAGCAAGACTACCTCTGCATGTATTACATCACTCAACAAGTTCCAATAAGACTGAGCAAAGCACTCTGCCATGGTCTTATTGACTGGATGACTTGGAATGTTATATATAGTTTATTTCGAGAAGTACGTGTCGATACATGTAGCCTTTCTATGATATAATTCTCCTGTTATCAAAACTCAAACTACCATGAATGACTCATCGTGACTTCCCGAAACGAGAGTCAGGGCTTTTCGATATCCCAGCATCAGTATTTAGATGCACCTCTGAGCTAGGTTTGTGGATGACATCCATCCACTAGGTAATAATTAATATTTACCCATAAGGTGTCACCAAACACAGGTTGACCTGCATTTACTATCTTAGAAGGAAAACCTTCTATTGTTAGCATGAATAATCCTGCTTTATGGCCATACTTCTCCTCCTCTTATTTATAATTGAGAGTTGAGTTGTTTCACTTGGTACCACTACTCTTTCAGGCATATACTTGCAACGGATTAATAGGTTTAAAAGATACCTTAGTAACCAGTAAATGCATTTGACAGTTTATTTGCAATATTATATAAATCAATAATTCTTTGAACTCAAAATTTAGTTCATTTAGTACGTGATCCTAAGCTTGAAATGTCTTATGCATTTCAAATAACTTCCTGGCATTATATATGGTACATCAAATCTCCCCCTAATGTCTGAAAATGCTCATTATCAAAGTAAAACCAGCATATGCGTCGTAAATAGATCCTACATAAGAGATCTAAATACTTAACAATCGACGGAGATTGAAATCTCACATTGATCCTCAGTTTCCTGTGTGTACCCATTAGTGTATGTTGTGGTGGTGAGATTGGTATGTATACAACGTAACCCAATCTTACAAAAATAGGAAATCTTCATGGATTCCCACGTACTAAATGCATATAGGGGATATGCAGTTAATCACAAGTCAGGAGTGTGTAAATCTGTCTGACCCCAACACAAAGTTAGCAAATAGAAATTTACTAACAATGGTCCTGCTATGACCTTGATGTCATACTCATAGATTCCATTTGTCCTTTTGATATGTAACTAAACTTTTGATATACCAAACAATCGTCATTGTAGGCATAAAAGTTCAGTAGTATTCGGGATAATGAGCTCACAACAAGAGCCATTATTTACCAAATGCATGGCTAAGTGTGGATGCTTCATACACTCTAGATCATCAGATGTATCTTGATAACCATGAAATGCCTTAACTGTCCATACAATCTTTGTATTGGACCCACACATATTCTCTTGAATATGATCAAGGAGTCTAATATATTCAATCTGATTTTAAGATAAGATGTTCTTAAAATATGTTTCCTGTGGCACTTATCGTAGCCATACTTTAGGAAAATCATGACAAAAAAAAATTGCCAATAATTTTCACCCATCCCTTTGGAAGGCTAAGTTGATCATTCCAAATTTATAATGCATCAATAGTGTGAAAAATTATCTTATACATAACATATTTTACGGGGATGGTTATATGCATAATACAACCAAAATGAGACTTATCTCATTACTTATATGCCATATCCAATGTTGTCTTTTTATGTTTTCATACAAAACACATTTGAATATCTCTATAATTTAGTAAGATACAAGTAAATTAGGACATAAAAATATCCTCAATCACTAACTTAGTATCCATAGGAAGAATGATGGTGGCGAAATTGGCCAAACTATCATTACATCGCATCGTGATGGCCAAAATTATTCCCTCTTTTGTCATAAGAACCAGGAACATTTTACTTCCCTAATTATAGAGTTTGTGGTACAAATGTCTACTAGGCATATATCATTCCACATTGGAATGAGTCCCATACAATCTATATATGACAAAAGTTTAATGAGATTCTCGTCTAATATATAGAAATCCATAAATATTGTCAAGTATCAAATATATTGATATGATACCCATAATAGTTATGTGTTGACAACACAAGTATTAATACAATATCTTCGATGGACATTATCACATATTATCAATGGACCATGAGATTATCCCAAATCTCAAAACAAATCATTCGAAGCATATTCGATGATCACGTTGTCCATCTATGTGATGTTCTCTTTACGAGAAAAGAAGAAGTGTTGTTATGTGATCCCATAAGTTTTAATATAACAACCAACCTTCTAGGTATATCCTATGTCATCCCAGTATAGAGCGTTTTGATATAGATCAATTACAAACTTAAGGCTATGGCATTGTTTAACGCGATGCTAAACACAACCACATATATGACATTACTCTGTCATTCTTGGGTTCACATTGCCATCACTCATATTACACTTTAGGTCTTTTGCTTTTTACTAGTGGAAGCAAAATGTATGAATAATATGATCGTAGTCTTCAATAGTTTGAAAAACTAGAGACATGATCCACTCATGATTAGTCTCAAGCTATATGAGTTTATTTATTGTTCATAAAACTCCTAAAGAGTGAGCCACAAAGAATGTGCATTTCTTTCCACAAGATAATCTTATCGAAAATCTTTATGGACGTGTAGTATCTTAATAACAGTAAGGCACAATTTCCTTTGATCCATAACAAACAACCCATAATTGAGGTTCATTAAATTCTTCCAATAGTCCATGGGATAAAAAAAATTGATGTCCATTCTCCATGTGGGATAATGAGGCCATCTAGAGCAAGTTCATCAAACTCCTCTAAAGTCAGTATCCTCAACATGTGACAGACCATTGATTTAATTAATTTACACCTAGGGTAAATTAAAAATCACTATGGTGATGTTGTAATCTCCAATGCAAAATTTAGGGGGTTACATGTCCTGACACTTTATTTTGGATAGTTGGAGGTAGTGACAAAACTGTAAACCTCACAACAACCAGAGGTAATCACAAAATGTGTAGATCTCACAAATGATCATTATTAATGTTGACACACACATTGTAGATAATCTCTATGTCCGAAATATAGAGTAGATCTCTCAAAGTAGTAGGCGGATAAATTCTTGTTATAGGCATGGTCTCTCGGGCCGATATATTCGTATGAATATATCGCACCAATGCCTAAGACTCTACCACCTATGTGTAGCCTTTAATAATGAATGATGGTAGTCACCGTAAAAGTGTATCATTCTCATATTTCCAAAACCCTTATTTGGGACAACACAATGTAGGTAACCATCAGGTTTAAAATAAACATGATGAGACTTCTCAATAATGGGCGAATAAAGCGTTGCCATAGGCATGGTCTCGGGGCGAATAATTCAAGATGAATTAAGCGCGACCAATGCCTAGGACTCCATCACTTGTGTTATGATCCCAAATGTATCAAAGATATGCATTGGAAAATTTTGCATAATCTCTTAATTAAGAGAATTCACCTATGTTAAAATACAATTTCTGAAAAATTAGCAAATTAACAAGGTCAAAAAAGTACATGAATAAACACTCTATTGTACTAAAATTACTAAGCATATAATGCTTTAGTTGGCTAGTGGCAAAACTATACAAAATCCCGTATGATCAAAGCAAAATCCACTTCCTATGTTAGCCTCACTATCAAAAATGGTTTGGCTGTCATTTTGCCTTTTCGGATTAGACTCATATAAGCCTAAATTTATCCATCCTTAATTAACTATCAGTTAATTAATTAAGAGGATCCGATTTTGTTGCAACTAAAATTAATTGCCAAACAACAAAATCGACGAACTATATATGTTTAGACATGAACAATTCTCTGGTCTTTAAAAGCAAACAAAGTATAGGAGTAAAAGCTCTATCTATACTAATCTTTGTTAGAGTCCATAACTAAAACAGAAAATCATAGACACAGAAAACATATCTAAACATGATAATAGTAAATTTATCTGTAATAATATATCATGATGCGACTTATGAGAACTGATATGTCTCAAAAATATCTAGTTACGAGGTAAATATTGGGCATCATAATTTGTTCAAACCAGAGTCTAAAAAACATATGTACGAGGTATAATGCAATATGTTGCATAGATGTAGAGACTAAAAATGATTCTGGAATGCATTGGTAAGCCATTTGAATTATCTTGTAATT